AGTGTGTCCATTGGGGCAACTCACAGGAAGGGCTGGGTCAAGAGCCAGAAGGCTTGGAGAGGGGAGAGTCCTTTGCCTCCTTCCAAAGGGAATGATCAATAAAGACCTGGTCCTGGAGCACTACCCAGTGGCCTGTAATTCCCAGGGGACAGGAGGGCTGACCCTGAGGCAGCATAGTGCCCTGCAGTGCCATGCCTGAGGAAGTCACTCCTGAACAAACCACCTTAGTCCTTGGGAATACATCAGAGCGGGATGGGAGAATTATCTGGTTAATGTCTGCAAACTCATGGCAGGAACCATGTCTGTTTTGCTCAGTGCTATATCCCTAGCTGCTAACCCAGCACCCGTCACATAAGAGACACTGAATTATTTGTTGAATAAGAGAATGACTGAATAGTGGAACAAAGGGCAACGAATCTTTGCTCTCAGGCAAAGGGACTATGGATAATGTGCCCACTCATGGTTGAAAGTGTAGACACTCATAAAGCAGCCAGCCTTGAGAAGGGAGATGTGGCAGGTGATAATTCTGCTCCAGGTAATTGATCGGAAATGTTTTCCAAATCCATCGTGGGCCATGAAGCAAAGATATTAACAGGCCTGCCTGCCAAGAGCCAGCAAGAATGAGGTCTTATTCACCTCTGGATCCTCAGCCCATGTCTATTGATGAATGAAAGTGAGTCTCTGCTCCTGAATGCCCAGTGGGGAAGGTGTTCACACACTGATTGCTGCGTGGGTGCTGGTGGGCCTCTGCCCAAGAAGCCTTCCCCAAGGCTTTCTGGAAGGCAGGTGGGGCATGGTGAGAAGAGCATGGACTTGGAGTGGGAAACTGTGGTTCAAGCCCTGATATCAGCCACTCCTGAACTCGTTAATAGACACAATCCCAGTGGGAGCAACAGGCACCGTCTTCTTCATCCCTGAGCCTTGCTGCCTCCCTTCTCTTTAAAAAACAGGAGGAATAATGATAGCAACAACAATAGCAATCATAACAACTTCTTCACAGACTTGTGAAGGTGGGATACTTGTGCACTGAGAGCGGAACAAGCACTCAACAAATGCTTGTTGTCCACATGGATCCGCTGATAGATCCACCATGGCTGATTCACTTCCCCAGCGTGGAAAGTTTTGAGAAGAGTCCCTCCCTGCTCCAGATAGGAAGCTCTACCACTACTTGACTTGCTTTCCTCTTGCTGCAACTTAAACCCTTTTACTCCACTGTCTGTGGTGACAAGGAATAGGCTGGCAGTTGGTGAAAGCTCTCTCTAACACCGGTCTCCCCTGCCTTCCTGGGAAAGCAGCAGAAACACACTTTTTGGAGCCAGGAACTAATGCTATGGAGAGTGTACAGTGACTTAAGATGTATTCAAATGAGTGCAACTCCAAGCCACATGGTAAGACAAATGGTTCTGCTGCCCGTGTGTAAAGCATGCCAGCCCTTTTCCCTGGCATGTGGCACACTCCAGATCTCTCCCCTCATCCAGTTACGTGTGTGCAAAACTCAGCCTGGATCAGTCACCCTCGAAATTTGAGTCAAATAAAATTAAAAATAAAAATTGTTCTTGGATCACACCCTGTTCTGCATTATCTGTGCTATGGTTTGACTTTATTCAGCTCTTTAACCACTGGCTCCAGATGATCTCACAGATGTAACTGGGCCAGCACTGGGGAGAGAGACCCCCACCTGAGTTGGTAAGAGCCGTTGGGATGCTGGGCTGGGTGCAGGATAGGTGACAAGCAGAAAGGCCATGTCAGGAATCATGCAAATCCCCATGTGGATGGGTCCTTGCTGCTCTTCACAACCATGATGCCATCAGATTCCCTGTGAAGTCTGCAGAAGGCTTGTCATGGCTCCCATTTAACTGATGAGAAGCCAGAGGCCCTGAGAGCAGCTACAGATCCAAATGCTCAGAGCGGGAAGTTAGCCCAGGTCTGCCTTCCCACCCCGCAGCCTCTCCAGGCTCCCGGAAACACCCTTATTCCCCAAGTCAAGCCGTGATGGCTCACACTGGATAAGGCCCCGAGCCACTGGGAGCTGGGAGCCTGGAAACTGTGGGAGAACCCCTACGGATTAATGACAGGTCATTCAGAGTGTCTATATACCTTGTTTTGGAAATCTAAGAGGTAAACATAATAGGATCCCAAGGTCTCCAGAAAAATCACTCACAATGCTCTCTTTGGGGAGTGAGCAGTATTGATTCCGGGTCAGCAAAGAGAAATGATGGATGCTCATCCCAGTCTGAGCCCCTGACTCCAGCCTGTGTTCAAGCTACGTTTACGTCCTTCTCTCCCTTTACACCCCTAGCTTCCAGACTCGATGCCAAGTGGCCTGGGGCCTCTGGTGCCCTGAGGGGAGCCAGCCAATGAGCTGCTAACCCAGAGGACATAAGCTAGTCCAGCTCAGCCTCTGCCATGTGACCAGCCAAAAGCAGAACCCCAAACCCCACCCCAAGATGAGTGGGGCCCAGCCTGGCAGGCAGTGGAGGGTGCTGCAGAGTGAGGAGGGGTGGAACACCGACAGTGATCAGAAGCGAATAAAGAACACTGAGGCCAGTTCATCTGTGAAGGTCGTGAAATGGACAGAGTTTTGTTCCTTTTGGTGTACGTTATTGCAGTTATGATGGTGTTTGTGCAATAAATGAAACAGTGAAGGGAAAGTGTTTGGGGTCTGTGTTGGGGTTGCACGATGCTGCAGATTTGGTGGGTTGTAGATTCCCAGGGAGGGCAGGCAATGTGGAGCCTCACTATCCCACTCTGGAAATCTACAACCCACCAAGTGTGGAGCCCAGGACAGAGGGGCAGAGGTATGGGAGTGGGGATGGGCGGAGAGGGAGGGGAAGGTAGGGAGAAATTCCTTAAACCCCATTCAGGATTTCCTTCTGGAGGGCTGTGAGTCTTCTTCACCAGGCTCAATTCCTGGTACTCTGGGTCCTGCCAGCTCAGATTCCTGAACTTCCAGAACATAATTGTCTTCCAGCTCAGCAGGGCACAGCGTCGGGCCGGCTAGGAGCAGGCTGCCATTCCCCGAATGTACACCCTGTCAGTGCCCAGATCCATCTGGAGAGCAAATGGCTGGCTGAGGGGAGAGAAAGCCCAAGCACACCACCCCCCATCTGCTCCCGCCATGTGACACACACTTGCAGGCGGGGAGGGAGAAGCCTGAGGTGGTTGGCTGATGTAGTGGGGAGGGTGGGAGAAAGAGCAAGGACCAGCAAAAACCCACTGTCCAGCCCCAGCCAGAAGCCTTTCTGGGAACTGCTCTCAGCCCTACTCCCATTGCCAGGTGAGCCCCCTCACTCCTGCGCACACACAGGGGAAAGACAGGTCTGAGTGAAGGCCAGGCCTGGGACTCCACCACCACCACTGCCCCAGACACAGGAAGGTGTATGTGGGTGCACACTCGCCTGCGCACATGCCTGAGATCCAGATCATTCCTTCAAAGCTTCTTTGCAGGTGCAATGATGCAGCCTCACTGCCGCCCTAGCCCTGAGCGCCTACAAGGCAGGTGACTAGTCCTTCTGGGTTTGGGTGTATGGGCTGGGGAGGGTGAGGCAGGGACACATGCCTGAGGACCTCTCAGGTCGAGGGTGTCCAGGAGGTGAGCAGGCCATGGGGCTTGGTTGTGGGCAGAATAGAGAGCTCCAGCCCTGGGCCAGGGGATGGGAAGAGAAGGGAGGTGGTCTCTTTAAGAGAAGTACAGTGAGCTCTTTCTGATCTGGTATAAAAGAAGCCCTTCTTGGAGACAGAAAGATGGTCAAGGGCTGACAAAACCCTTCCAGTGCTTAATGAATGTCTCTCTTTAAACCTGGCCATTGGTGCCAAAGCCCCTTAAGTTCCATATTCATAGAGCTCAGTTATAATAAGAATAACAGCTAACAGGCTTACTATTTGCAGGACTTTATCTATGACTCACCCTGTAGGCCCGGCCCCCACCCCCAGCTCTCTTTTTCCACAATGGAACTGGAATAGAGTTATCCTCGTAGAGGCCTGTTGGAGGAGCATCTGAAATGCAAGAATTCTGGGGAGGGAGCCCGGAAGTGTCCTCCGCTCAGGTCCACAAGGACAGCAGAGATACGGAAGCGAGCGGGAAGCCATGTCATTTTCCTCCCGGAAGCTTTAGTCAAGTGCCCACAGGTGTGGTCTGCAGGCAGACGTGGGGAGCACCAGACAAGGAGAGATGGAGTGGGGACTCTGGGTCCAGGGGTGAGGAGCAGTGGAGTAAGCAGAGGCACAGCTGAGCCCCTGTCTGCCAGGAGAGCTGCCGCTGCTGCCTGGCAGGAAAGGAGTGTGATGGATGCTCCCCTGCCCAGCTGCGCCTCAGCCTTGGCAGGGGAAGGAAGGACGATGAGACCCTGAGCCAGGGAACACGGATTTCTGCCTGAGGAGGCGGAGACCAAGGCAGAGACCTGCCCTCCCCCTTCTCCTCCCCACAACCCCCCTGCTTTGGCACAGCCTGGGTTGACACTGAAGCACTCATGCCACAAAACGTGCAGCCCTGGGTTCAAATCCCAGCCCAGGCTCCCTTAGCCTCTCTGAGTCAGTTCCCTCAACTGTAAAACCACACAGGGCAGTTGTGAAGATTAAAAGATAATGTTTGCGGAAGCACATAGCACTATCTGGCACCTAGAAAACACTCAATAAATGTCAGCCATTATTTTATCATCATTATTAGTGTTGTGATTATGCGGACCTTCCGTCTCTCTCTCCAGATGCTCACAATAGCCTCCTAAGTACGCTTCCTATCTTTCATCTCTCCTCTCCAATCCGTCCTACACAAAGCTGCCAGAACACAGTCTACAGCAATGATTTGGTCACATTATTCTGCTGCTTAAAACCCCCACCAGCTCCCCACTGCCTACACAATCAAATCCAAATGCCCTGCATAGCAAGGCCTTTCCATCTGCCTCAAACTCCCTCTCCTGCCTCCTCTTTGGCCATTCCCCCTCTATCCAACCTCCTCATCACATCCCAAATCTAGATACTCTTCACATCATGCACTTGCCCACCTCGATCCCTTCACTTCTGCTCGCCCATCCCTGTAGAATGCCCTCTCCTCCAACGAAAACCTCCTCAGCCACCAAGGCTCAGACAAATGCCAGCTCATCCATGAAGCTCCTTTTGACCCTCACGCAGCCAACAGCTTCCTCTGCTGACAGATGCAGCATGTGGTTTATATACTCTCATCATTTCCCCGCCCTGTGTTGGGCTGTGCAGATGCAGGAAATGCTTCTCAAAGTGTGCTCCTAGGACCAGCAGCATCTGCACCTCCTGGGAACTTGTTTAAAATGCAAATTCTCCTGCCTCACCCCAGATCTACTGGATCAGAAAGTCTGGGGGCAGGGCCCAGTAATCTGTGTTTTAACCAGCTCTCCAGAAACTATTGCACACTCAGTTGGGGAACCACTGATGTAAGGTACCTGTACCCTACAGGTGATGCTTGGTACACAGAGAGAAGTGATGGGTTAGATCAGATCACTTGGGTAGCTTTTTTTTTTTTTTGAGACGGAGTCTCGCTGTGTCGCCCAGGCTGGAGTGCAGTGGCCGGATCTCAGCTCACTGCAAGCTCCACCCCCCGGGTTTACGCCATTCTCCTGCCTCAGCCTCCCGAGTAGCTGGGACTACAGGCGCCCGCCACCTCGCCCGGCTAAGTTTTCGTATTTTTTTTTTAGTAGAGACGGGGTTTCACCGTGTCAGCCAAGATGGTCTCGATCTCCTGACCTCGTGATCCGCCCGTCTCGGCCTCCCAAAGTGCTGGGATTACAGGCTTGAGCCACCGCGCCCGGCTACACTTGGGTAGCTTTGAAAAAATACAGCTGGTTGGGCCTCACCTGCAGAGATTCAGATTTAATTGATCTGGGGTTAGGCCTGTGCATCCATGTTTTTTTTCTCCCAACATTTTATTAAGAATATTTTCAAACATACAAAGCAGTTAAAAGACTGCACAGTGAACACTGGTATACCCGCCATCTAGATTCTATTACCAACATTCTGCTGTATTTCCCTTATCACACATCTGTCTACCCATGCATTCATCCATTTTATTTTTTAGTGCATTTCAAAGTAAGTTGCAGACATCAAACACATCACACAAACACATCTGAGTGATTTAAAAGCCCTCCGGGGCCAGGTACGGTGGCTCACGCCTGTAATTCCAGCACTTTGGGAGGCCGAGGCGGGCAGATCACTTGAGGTCAGGAGTTCAAGACCAGCCTTGCCAACATGGTGAAACCCAGTCTCTACTAAAAATACAAAAATTAGTCAGGCACGGTTGCACACCCCTGTAATCCCAGCTACTCAGGAGCCTGAAGCACAAGAATTGCTCGAACTGGGGAGGCGGAGATTGCAGTGAGCCAAGATCGGGCCTCTGCACTCCAGCCTGGGCGACAGAGTGAGACTCTGTCTTGAAAAAGAAGAAAAGCCCTCCAGATGGTTACACTGTGCAGTCAGGGCCTCTCTCATCACAGGTGAGAAACTGACAGTCTCTTAGGCTCAGCTCCTGCTGTGAAATGAGGAGGAGGAGAAGGATGATGCCTACTATGCCTCCCTGTCCCACTCTTACGAGGACTGAATGAGATCACATTTGAGAAAGCCCTTTGTAAAGGGTCATATGATTAACAGAAAGCAATCTCTGACTCCATGCTGGAGAGGAAGGTGTCCAGAGCTGTTGCAGGATCACTGAATAATAAACGAATTGCAAATAAATGACAAATAATTATTTAGTATAAGTGTATCCAAAATATTGCATGAGACATACTCATACTCATACTGAAATACTCTTTGTTGCTTACCTGAAATTCAAATGTAATTGAACAACCTATATTTTTACTTGCTAAGTCTGGCACTCCTAGAACTCAGTCCTGTCTTATGGAGAGCACCAGGATCAGAACCCTCTACCCAGAGAAGAGTCAGGGCTGGCAACAGGGACTACAGCTCTGCCTAGCCAGCCTCTCATGCTCCTAGGATTTAAATGTTAATGTCAGCCAAAAACACCCTCACAAAAACACTAGAATAATGTCTGATCAAATATCTGGGCACAGTGGCCCACCCAAATTAACATATAAAATTAACCATCACAGTCAGCAAGTCTCAAACATTAGAGTACAAAAGTCTCACTGGGGAGAACCAATTAAAATGCAGGTCTCCAGGCCCCACCCCAGAGATTCTGATGCACCAGGTTTGGCACAGTGCTGAGGAGCCAGCATGTTAGCCACCGCTCCAGATGGCTGGGATCCGAGGGCTCCACGGGCCCACTTTCGGAAGCACTGCAGTTGTCACTCAATAAATATTTGCCGACTAAAGGGATGTTGGAGGTAGGAGTGTGGGCAGGAAGGCATCTGAGCCAGGGCCAGACCAGCTCTGCAAGACTGTGTCCTAGGGGCTCTGTGAATGGCCCCCACTGGAGTGATGGCAGATGGGGAGCCAGCCAGCCAGTCCTGCCCCCAGGCAGGGACCCACAGCTGAGTTTACAGACACAGGAGACAGAGCTGCAGGCAGTGGGCAACTCCACCAGCCCTGGCACTAACCCAAAGGGCAAACCCTTGAACCAGGCCTAGCCCCACCTGGGCCCCAGGGTGCCCTTCTCTGTCCCATGCGAGTCGGTGGGGTGGACGTGCTCGGCCTCTCATGAGCCGATGAGATCATGGCTCAGGAATCTATGTGCAGTCGGTTGCCCCTGAAAAGAACCGCTCACTCAGCTGGGGAAGCGAGCAGCTGAATGTTCACAGGCCGGCTGGGGAGGCGGGGCGTAGGGCCACAGGGACCCGCGCAGCATCCCAAACACTTCAGAAAGGAAGAAAATCAACCCTGGGTTGTACAAGCCCATGATGACAGAGCTGTTTCGTTTGTTTGTTTGTTTGTTTGTTTGTTTGTTTGTTTGTTTTTAATAGACTCCCATAGACTGGTGGTTAGAGTTATGTCCCTGAAAACCTTACAGCTAAATAGGTAACTGCCAGAGAATGACAGCGTCTGGGCAGAAAGAGACTCTTGGTGGTGGGTTAGGTCCATCTCCCAGGACCAGCGTTCTAAACATTTCATAGTGATAGAAGGCTGGAGGCGGATCCCTCTGCTGGGCAGCCTCCAGGAGGGGAGAGGCATGGACAGCCAGCTTCGTGTCAGAAGGGGCATTCATCCTCAGGGCCTGCCTGATGGGGAGTAAGTAGGTGCTCAATAAATGCATGTTCAGCTCAACTGAGCAAAGGGTAAAGCAAGAGGAGAGAAGACTAGTGGCTGCCCCTCTTCCAGGCCTCTTTTACCCCTGTTACCATGTCCTGCAGCTCTGGGCTGCTCTGTTTCCACCCCTTCTGTGTGACCTCAAATGCCACCTGGCTCCCTTCATGCCCGTCCTCTTGCCCAGGTCCTGCTTGGCCATCTTCAGCCTGCCCTGTGAGCCATCGCACAGCAACTGGGAAGGCGGTTCAAAGAGGGAGACGCAAGACACAAAGAATGCCTTGACAAGAAAGGACAAAGCACTGGGGCTCTGCAGGCTGGAAAAGAACAATGGGATAAATGGGATGGGAGGCAGGGGAAGAACCAAAGTCCTCAGGTGTCTGAAGGGTTATAACTGAGAGAGGATGACCAGAGACACCATCGCTCTCAGGACAAGGCAAGGTGAACGTGGACAGTGGAAAGACCCGCCGAGGAGAACATTCAGGATGGGAGCAGCAGAGAGCCCCTCTGTCTCTGAGATCACCTGGGTGTCTCCAGGAAGAAATGCTTTTCTGCCTGACATGGCCTGCAGAGCCAGCCAAACAACCTGCCATCCACAAACGCTTCCACATCCTCCCCAACTCTCTTCCCGGATTAAGCTTGTGCCACTTCTGGGGGTTCCCAGTTCCACATAAGTTTACTACCTGCTGTGTAAATAGCACTTACTTTCATTTGTGCTACAGTTTCTTTTGGCTGCCTTCAAGGGCTCCCCTTCTCTCTTGTTCTGATTTCAGGGACTTGGAGATGAAATCTACATGTCACCCTATGGCAGCCTTAAGGGAGAGGGGCATTCACAATTGGGATGTACCCCCCTCACTGTCTCCTTTCTGTCCTGGGATCCTGGTAGATTTTTCAACTAAATCCAGAAAGACAATCCCTTAAAGAAGGAACAACAGGCCATCCACCTGGTTTCCCCAAGGCCGGGACCATGTTGTCTCCAACCACCCTGCAATAATGCCCGGCTCTCTGGCTGTTTGTTTTGGCCAAACCAGCATATGCGCTCAAAACCTTTAAGGGAACATTCTAACAGCTAACATCTTTAGATTTACTGGGTTATGTCAGAGCACTGGCAACTCCCCATTTGTGGATATGACTTTACTGATTTTCCCCTAAGTGTGTGGCCTTGCATATCCAGGGTGAAGGGATGCTATACTTATCTGGGCCATATGCAACAGCTCGCCTGACATTTCATCACTGGGAAGCTGCTGATGTTACCTACATTTTGTACTGGACTCTGCCACTGACATCCCCCACCCGAAAAGTATCATTTCTCTTCTGTGTCACTCTTAAGCCAGTCTCTGACCCAAGACACAAAACTCCATCCCAGTCCCAGGATGATGTATTCTGGTGTGGATCTAAAGGACCAAGGAAGCACTCCCTGTTTCAGGGACGCTGGGGTGGGCAGTGGTGACTGATGATCAGCTTCCCTGGAGAGCTTCAAGACCAGGACGAAGGCCAATAATTCTGGCCAGCCATGCTCTTCCTGGATGCTCTTTCATTTGGGCAATGACCCAAATTATTATTATTTTTATTGTGGTGAATTATCCATAACACAAAATCTACCAGTTTAACAATCTTTCAGTGTCCAGTTCAGGATCTTTAAGTGAATTCACGCTGCTGTGTACTATCGCCACCATTCATCTCCAGCACCCACTCAACTGTCCCAGCTGAAACTCTGCCCACTAAACAGTAACTCCCCAAGCCCCACTCCCCACCTGCTCCTGAGAACCACCATCCTACTATCTGTCTCTGAATTTGGCTACTGTAGGTTCTTCATATCAGTGGACTCTTACAGTATTTGCCCTTTTGTGTCTGGCTTATTTCACTTAGCATAATGTCTTCAGGCTTTATCCATGTTGTAGCATGTATCCCTAAGTTATTTTTTAAAGTATGTCACCAGGTAGCGCTTTGAGGACATGGCAAAGAAAGAACGGACATGGTTACTGGAGTGGCACCCATA